TAGTCCCTGACACTGAAAAACATCCCCACAGCATGATGCTGCCACCACCATGCTTCATCGTAGGGATGGTGCCAGGTTTCCTCCATAAGTGAGGCTTGGCATTCAGGCCAAAGAGTGCAATCTTGGTTTCATCAGACCAGATAAACTTGTTTCTCAGACCTTTAGGTGCCATTTGGCATACTCCAAGAAGGCTGTCATGTGCCTTTTACTGAGGAGTGGTTTCAATCTGGCCACTCTACATTAAAGGACTGATTGGTGGAGTGCTGCAGATATGGTTGTCCTTCTGGAAAGTTATCCCATCTCCACAGAGGTACTCTGGAGCTCTGTCAGAGTGACTATTGGGTTCTTGGTCACCTCCATGACCAAGGCCCTTCTCCCCCGATTGCTTAGTTTGGTCAGGCGGCCAGCTCTAGGAAGAGTCTTGGTGGTTCCAAACTTCTTCCATTTAAGGATGATGGAGGCCACTGTGTTTTCATGTGGACCTTCATTGCTGCAGAAATGTGTTGGTACCCTTCCCCAGATCTGTGCCTCGACACAATCCTGTATCAGTGCTGTACGGACAATTCCTTCGACCTCATGGCTTGGTTTTTCTCTGACATGGACTGTCAACTGTGGGACCTTATATAGACAGGTGTGTGCCTTTCCAAATCATGTCCAATCAATTGAATTTACCACAGGTGGACTCCAAGTTGTACAAATATCTCAAGGATGAGCAATGGAAACAGGATGCACCTGACCTCAATTTCGAGTCTCATTTCGAAGGTTCTGAATACTTATGTAAATAAGGTATTTCTGTTTTTTATTTTTTATAAATTTGCAAACATTTCTAAAAACCTGTTTTCGCTTTGTCATTATGGGGTAATGTGTGTAGATTGATGAGGGGAAAAATAATTTATTCCATTTTGGAATAAAGCTGTAACGTAACAAAATGTGGAAAAAGTCAAGGGGTCAGAATACTTTCCTAATGCACTGTATATGTATATAAATTGTGTACAGTTATGCTAATAGTGTCTCCAGTGTGAGTGAGCATGCTCTTGCCTCTTACTAGTTACGCTGTAGAATTTGAATGTGAAATGTTGCTAAATATTGGTGTTAATCGTTTGTTTGTCTCATCGAAATGTATAATGTTTGCAAAGCATTTATCAGGCTTGTGTGAAACCATAAGCACATTAATTGGTTTCTTGCTTATCATAATAATCAATGCTTTGTAGCATTGTAAAACCCTCTTACTGTATGACAAGTCATTATGAAACTTGATAACTGTCGATATGGTACTAGTTATACATCAAAATAAAGGTATAATACATGAAGCACTGATGAGTCAAAATGTAGCCTGAATAAAGAAAAAGATACAGACAAATATAGCCTAGAACAAGGATATTGTTATTATTCTCCAGCTGTGATATGTACTGTACATCTACTGGTTTAGACGTTTCTCAGTTTGTGAGTGAGTGGGTTTCAAAACACAGACTTAACAAGAATTGAGAATGGGGAGTTTCACCTCTCCTTTTTTCTCTGAATATGTCTTTTTTTCTGACCCTTCCATTTGTCGTGACGTGACTTACTTTAATGTATGACTGTTATTTATCGAATCACCTAACTATGTTTAATTGTCACCCGATTAAATTAATCATGTAACAATGAACTCATTTGGAATTTGGGGCACCACGGAAGAAGTTGTTTAACGAGTTACCATCTCCCGAATGAAACTCTTAGAAGATATGTTATATATCGATAACAGTCACTTATCAAATAATTACCTCTTATCAGTCTCATTCTGAACGTCGCATAATCCTTGAACCTGCAAAAACTCTAACCTTATTGATGAATCAGCAATACACAAATTGGCTTAATTATTTATATACTAACTAACTAAATAATAACACAATACAAACACACATAGGTTATTGATTACTAACGTAATACAATGAAAACAGGTCCCTAGTGGACTGGGTTAACAATCGCATGACTGCTTGGGTAGAAGGAGGGTCAGAGTGGAAGGGAGAGACAGAGATTCAAACTATCGTGGTTACTTTGGAGACTACGCTCACAGTAATCATAATTAGAAATGCAACGTGTATTTACGTGTAGCTGTCCTCGATAGTTGATGATCTAGGACTCTGGTTTGCCCACCAGAGATCCCAATGTCCTTGGTAGAGTTTCTGGTCGTAGTGCTGGTTAGATCGGATACTTCAGATGTACCAGCGGTTGTCTGAGAGGGATTGTCCTTCCCACTTCGTGTCTTTAGTGAAAGTTCTCTAGACAACTATACATGCCAGCTGCAGACTGAAATGATAAGGTCTAGTGCATTGTCTTCTTCACCTTGTGTAGAGGTTGAGAGTTTCAGAGTTTCTTCATTTAAAATGTGTGGACTAACGTCTCACGGTTTCTGGTCTTTCTGGTCTTGTAGAAATTCAACCATTTGCAACATTTGGCTCACACTTCACGTCTGCTGGTCTTCCTTTGGTAATGGAGTTGTAGTTTTAAACAATTTTGTAACGTTTAGCTCACGCTTCACGTCTGCTGGTCTAAAGGTTGATTTGTTTTTCAAGGCTTTTTATGCACTCGGGGTAAAAGAGGTGTTCCATCATGTTTACACGATCTCTGATGTCACTCGGGGCGTGGCTAGTCACTGTGCGTAGTTTATATGAAAAACTATTATCTCATTAGAAGACTAAAATCACATTCCTATCTTCACCAAAATACTCTCATACTTAATCATATATTTTATACAACATTTAGATGTAAACTTGATAGACTGAATATGTACACTTTCCGAGTGACAGTTATTATTTGATACCATCCTTAATGACATCACAAAATAATAAACAATATGACATGATTATTCTTTAGATCCCCTCTGACCATTTCCCACATTCTTTTAAGTAGGAGTATTGTTTCATTATCCACTTTTGGATGTTGGAGTCTTGGCGGGAAGTCTTCCTTTGTCTCACAGGGAAATTCTTTCTTCACATACTAGAGACCAAAAGGAGCACTTTTCTGCAAACTATTTATGACCGGCTGTTAAGTCACAAAACCGGCCCCCAGGAAAGGGGGTGTTCAAACCTTTGCCTAGCAGGAATGTTTGATCCTCAACCCATGAGGGCAAGTCATGACACATTCTTTCTCTCTGTAGGAGGGATGTGGGAAAACTGAGAGAAATATGTTCTGCAGTGGGTTGTCTAGCTTCAGTGTCTGATGCAATAATAATGAATTCACAGGTTGTTTCTGAACAATGCATGGTCATCCAGCAAGAGCAGACAAATTGATTTATTCCTTTTCTCTCTCCTTAAGACACACAACTGGGGCAGTGAAATCATGGTGTTTTTCCATTTCCAGATCACCTTCAGTCACAGTCTAACAAATGTCATCCTAATGATTTTAATCAGCATGCCAGAGGTCAGTGATAACCCTGTGATGAAGGCTGATTATGTTTTGGTGTATTTATTAAAGGGGCAATCAGCAGTTGCTCCATACATATTTGGATTTCTAAATGAATGATATCTACCAATTGATTCTTGAAGAATATAACACAAAATGCCTCATGAGCTTAATTTAACTGTCTTACCCCATCAGAACCCAAAATATAATTTTGCTTTATTACAATGTTTGTAAACAAACACTGTATAGCCTCAAAACATGGTTAAACCTAGGGCTCTATTCAATCCGTATCGCGGAAGTTCAGCTTTATAGCGCAATTGACAATTACCTTTACATTTCTAGCACGCAATCTGTAATGCTTCAGCGATACAGATTGAATAGAGCCCAGAGGCAAGGAAAATAATTGGAGTGCCAAAAAGCTACTCTTTAAAATTCTCACAAGCAGGGATGGGCAAGAATTACAAAATTCAATTACAAAATACCATAAAGATAAATGTATGAAAATAAACTACAAAGTATTTAGTAATGTATTTAATTAAAGTACATGTATTTTTCTATTTTAAAATACAAAAATACATTTACAACTAGCCGGCCCGAACACCAACAACATGCTCAGTATAGGTTACAGAAACGATTTACTTGCTATGACTGTGATATGTTGTATTTTATCTACCTTAGTTGCTAAATGACAAAAATGTAAATGCATATTTGAAAATGAACATACCAAAATGAACCGCAACGCACACTAGGTATTATTATTGGCCTTGTTTTGGGGCGGAGTTCATTAGAATAATACTCAGCATGCTTTGCAATTGTTCATTTTTACATATACATTTATATTTAGTTCATTTAGCAGACGCTCTTATTACACCATAGTGCCATCAGACTTCTGATACCAACGCAGGGTAAAAGGGGGCAACAAAATATGAACTTCTTTAAATAAATGGTATGGAAAAGTATTTTGTATTTTTATACAGCTCTTGAACATATCTTGTTACAAAATACATTAGAGTGTAGTTTAGCCCAGTGTAATACCGATTACAAAATAATCAGAAGTAATTAAAATACACATTTCAAATACATGAAACAGAAATACTGTAAATAGTCCGGGTGGCCATTTAATTAATTGTTCAGCAGTCTTATAGCTTGGGGGTAGAAGCTGTTAAGGAGCCGTTTGGACCTAAACTTGGTGCTCTGGTACCGCTTGCCGTGCGGTAGCAGAGAGAACAGTCTATGAATTGGGTGACTGGAGTCTTTGACAATTTTTTGGGCCGTCCTCTGACACTGCCTAGTATATAGGTCCTGGATGGCAGGAAGCTTGGCCCCAGTGATGTATTGGGCCGTACGCACTACACTCTATAGCGCCTTACGGTCGGATGCTGAGCAGTTGCTATACCAGGCGGTGATGCAACCGGTCAGGATGCTCTCGATGGTGCAGTTGTAGAACTTTTTGAGGATCTGGGGACCCATGCCTCCTGAGGGGGAAACTTTTACAGAGATCAATCACCTGGAGAATCAAAGAACTAGCTGTTTCCTGAGATAAATAAATAATATATACAAGATGATAGCCTCCATTTGCAAAGGACCTGTGATCTCTACTTATTCCAGGGGGTATGAAAATGGCATTAGGGTCAGTTAGAAAACATTCCATGTTTGTGGCCACAGAGAAAATGCTATACTTTTGGGGACCTTACAAAAAAACATCCTTGTGAACAGAACATGATTTATAAATCCCTCCCCCAACAAAAAAAAACATATATATACAGTATTGTGCAAAGCTGTCATCAAGGCAAAGGGTGGCTATTTGAAGACTCTCAAATATAAAATATATATTGATTTGTTTAACACTATTTTGGTTACTACATGATTCCACATGTGTTATTTCATAGTTTTGATGTCTTCACTATTATTCTACAATGTAAAAAATAGTAAAAATAAAGAACAACCCTTGAATGAGTAGGTGAGACCAACATTTTGACTGGTAGTGTATGTTTTCAGTAAATATCTACATTATAAAATTAGTGGAAAGAATGCGAAATAAATGGATGATTGGAACATGTTGCATTAATATTTCATATTAGGGGATTGCTACGATCTTCTCCTCTTTCATTTGAGGAGAGCTTTATTTTCATTTTTTTCACATTTTAGTCATTTAATAGACGCTCTTATCCAGAGTGACTTACAGTTAGTGAGTGCATACATTATTTTCATACTGGGAATCGAACCCACAACCCTGGCGTTGCAAACGCCATGCTCTACCAACTGAGCTACATCCTTGCCGGCCATTCTCTCCCTTACCCTGGACAACGCTGGGCCAATTGTGCGCCGACCCATGGGTCTCCCGGTCGCGGCCGGCTACGACAGAGCCTGGATTCAAACCAGGATCTCTAGTGGCACAGCTAGCACTGCGATGCAGTGCCTTAGACCACTGCGCCACTCGGGAGACTTCCCGTGTAGCTCAGTTGGTAGAGCATGGCGCTTGCAACGCCAGGGTTGTGGGTTCGATTCCCACGGGGGACCAGTATGAAAATAAAAAAAGTATGCACTCACTAACTGTAAGTCGCTCTGGATAAGAGAGTCTGCTAGATGACTATAATGTAATTTGAGAGTGTTTGCTAGGAGACATTATATTTTTTCCTTCCTTTTTTAAAGAGCTTTTAAGAGGAATAGTGATTATGTAATATCCCTACTAGAGCTACTTCTGTGAACCTAAGGGCTGCCTCCTGGTCCTACTCTTTCTCCTCAAATCAGTTATTGTTGAGCCTTGGAAAAATGGATAGCAGCTCTGCCTACGGTCTAAGTTTGAGTTTGAGACCCGCAAGGGGAGTTGCACTATTGCCAAAATTGCTACAGCGCTGTAGGTATGCCTCCTGGCCACTTTAAAGGGTGAAGGTGTGATTTCTACGGGATTTATAATCCATACTCAGGGCTTGGAGAACAACTAGGAAGTATTTACTTGGTTTTGTTCTATCTAAACCCTATTCCCTCCATCCCTTTATTGCAGGGGTTCAATTGAAACAATCAATAATATTCAGTCTAGACAGTGTAAAGATATGGGTAACCTTTCAGTTATAGTATAGCTCCAAACACTATTTTTCAACTTCAGATTGATTGTTATATATAAACTACAGACTCACATAGATGAGCAAGCAGAGATTTCAGAGATTCCATCCAAACACAGGGGGGAAATACACTACATGACCAAAAGAATGTGGACACCTGCTCGTCAAACATCTCATTCCAAAATCATGTACATTAATATGGAGTTGGTCCCCCCTTTGCTGCTATAACAGCCTCCACTCTTATGGGAAGGCTTTCCACTAGATGTTGGAACATTGCTGCGGGGACTTGCTTCCATTCAGCCACAAAAGCATTAGTGAGGTCGGGCACTGATGTTGGGCGATTAGGCCTGGCTCGCAGTCTGGGTTCCAATTCATCCCAAAGGTGTTTTAATGGGGTTGAGGTCAGGGCACTGTGCAGGCCAGTCAAGTTCTTCCACACCGATCTCAACAAATATTTTCTGTATGGACCTCGCTTTGTGCACGGGGGCATTGTCATGCTGAAACAGGAAAGGGCCTTCCCCAAACTGTTGCCACAAAGTTGGAAGCACAGAATCGTCTAGAATGTCATTGTATGCTGTAGCGTTAAGATTTTATTTCACTGTAACTAAGAGGCCCAGCCCGAACCATGAAACACAACCCCAGACCATTATTCCACCTCCACCAAACTTGACAGTTGGCACTATGCATAGGTAGCGTTCTCCTGGCTTCTGCCAAACCCAGATTAATCCATTGGACTGCCAGATGGTGAAGCGTGACTCATCACTCTAGAGAACGCGTTTCCAATGCTCCAGAGTCCAATGGCGGCGAGCTTTACACAGCTCCAGCCGAAGCTTGGCATTGCGCATGGTGATATTAGGCTTGTCTGCGGCTGCTCGACCATGGAAACGCATTTCATGAAGCTCCTAACGAACAGTTCTTGTACTGACGTTGCTTCCAGGGTCAGTTTGGAACTCGGTAGTGAGTGTTGCAACTGAGGACAGACGATCTTTAAGCGCTACCCACTTCAGCACTCGGCGGTCCCGTTCTGTGAGCATGTGTGGCCTACCATTTCGCGGCTGAGACGTTGTTGCTCCTAGACGTTTCCACTTCACAATAACAGCACTTACAGTTGACAGTGGCAGCTCTAGCAGGGCAGAAATTTGACGAACTGACTTGTTGGAAAGGTGGCATCCTGTGACCGTGCCACGTTGAAAGTCACTGAGCTCTTCAGTAAGGCCATTCTACTGCCAATGTTTTTCAATGGAGATTGCATGGTTGTGTGCTCGATTTTATACACCTATCAGCAACGGGTGTGGCTGAAATAGCTGAATTCACTAATTTGAAGGAGTGTCCACATACTTTTGCATATACTGTATAGTGTAACTGCTGTATTAGGTTATGACCCAAATGGCACCCTATTCCCCTATGGGCCCTGGTCAAAGTAGTTCACTATAGGCAATAGGGTGTAATTTGGTCCGCACAAAGTCTGTTAAATTAACTGTTGTACTGGTCCAGGGGTGTCAACCTCATTCCATGGAGGGCCTAGTGTCTGCAGGTGAGGGAAGTTCTTTACTAATTAGCGACCTTAAGTCATCAATCAAGTACAAGGGAGTCAGTCAGTCAGTGGTGTGTTGAGTGCAGAGAGAAAGGAGGCCTGATGTGTTTGATAATAAAACATCAGTGTGCCGAGCGGCCTGCCTGTCAGACCCTGTGCCCTTCACGTGCAATGCAGAGACGGGGAAATGTGAGAGAAGTGCTAATTGGACCATGCCAACACTCAGAGAGAGAGAGAGAGAGAGAGAGAGAGAGAGAGAGAGAGAGGTCCACACATTACCCACTCACCTCACTGCACCACACACCTCCTCCCCCCATCTGCCTGCCTCACCCACTCACCTCACCCCGCCCACCACAACGCATCCACACTCTCTCCTTCCTCCTGTCTCACTCCTTACCCCACTCTCCTTTCTCCACCTCACCCATTCCACACTGCTTTTTTCCACCTCCTTTCTGCTGTCGCTCAACCTGCAGTCTCATAGCACTCCGCTACCGCACTAGCCTTTATCAGTCCGACCGACATGAAGCAGTATATTTGTCTGTTCCTCCTCTCTCTTCTTCATCTCTCCCTCTGTCTATCCATCTCTATTGGTCCCTCTCTCTCTCTGCGTCTCAGCGGGCACTTGAGAAGCGGCATGCTCGACGAGGGGCTATGTGAAACCTAACACCTTTCTCTACCACCTCCTCTCACGAGGGAATCCACCTGGCAGCAGGATGACATACAGTATCTGTGTATGATATGCTAATGCAGACAGCCCCAGATCTACTTTGAGGAGAGGAGAGGAGAGCGGAGGGAAAGGGGTCCCTTCTCAATAATACCAACCTCTCTGCATCCCAAATGGCACTCTATAACCTATATAGGGAAAAGGGTGCCATTTGGAACGCATATCTGGTATTCTCAGTACTCTGTGTATTTAGCATGTGTAAAATGGGGGGCGGCCAAACTTCAGTAGCTTTACCCCAAATTGAACATTTTCAGACACGAAAGATTCCCAGGGCAGCAGGTGATACACAGCAGATAATCCAATGTTGAATCAACACTAGCTAGGTTTCCATCCAATTGGCAACAGATTTTCTTGCAAATATTCTAAAACCTGCATAAATAAAATATGCACATTTTCCACCAGATTGACTTGTTGTGGATACAAATCAGTGTGGCATGACAGTGCACACAAAATGTACTTTTTTGCTTACGTTTTCATGTACCGAGAATACAAATCTAAAGTTCAATGTGTTTCCATCGCATTTTCAACTCTACTGATAATTTTGTCAAAACTGTTGCATTCATTAGCATATGTGCCTACTCTGGTGTTGCCACCTGCGCTCCAGCCAACAGCTCCCAGATGCTGTGCTGGTAGTCTAGTCTACATGATGAGATTAGTATGGGATAAAAGCGAGAATATTTTTATTTGTTAAATGGCAGTCTTTGATATGATGGTTATTATATCAATATTTATGCATAAAGTCATTTCCACTGTCATTTCTCACATAATACTGTATATTTTACAGACACAAAAAGATCGCACCATGTCGAACTAACTAATTATCTGTCGACATTTATAAAATTGTACCGAAACGTTTTCACAAGACAAGGTTGCTTAGTGTTGGGATACAGGCTTCACATCATCATTTAGAGCTGCTTATTGTCTGATGACCTCCTGTAAGCATTTACAAAGACTTCAAAACTGGCAGCAGATACACTCAAACTAACAACCATAGACCACTTAAACTGGTACAACACTACCACTCACAGGTGGCCAAAAATTGAAAAGCCAAACTGAAAGCCACTAAGCCACGCCTCCATTATTATTTCCCAGTGTGCCTTGCCTTTCCAGTGAATTGTAGAGTTACCACCCATGACTATATTTGTTAGTGACAAAGACATCATTGTTGAATTTATTACATTTCAATACTGTGGCCTTCACCAAGTGAGTTTTAAGATAAATGTAATTACAATTAAGCTGTTTATGGCAATACATTCGATATCTCATAAGGCCTTATTTTGATGCCTAATTTTACCCTAGTACAGTTATTGTTTACAGGCCATATCTTCAGGACACAGTACTGGCTTAAACAGTTATGTGTAATTCCTATTGGAATCCAGTCAGAGGTGGGATATCCAAAACTTGGAATTCTGATTCACCCACATACAGTTGAAGTTGGAAGTTTACATACACTTAGGTTGGAGTCATTAAAACTCGTTTTTCAACCACTCCACAAATGTCTTGTTAACAAACTATAGTTTTGGCAAGTCGATTAGGACATCTACTTTGTGCATGACACAAGTAATTTTTCCAACAATTGTTTACAGTCAGATTATTGCCTTTAAACAACTTGGAAAGTTCCAGAAAATGATGTCATGGCTTTAGAAGCTTTAGAAGTACCTGTGGATGTATTTCAAGGCCTACCTTCAAACTCAGTGCCTCTTTGCTTGACATCATGGGAAAATCCAAAGAAATCAGCCAAGACCTCAGAAAAGAAATGTAGACCTCCACAAGTCTGGTTCATCATTGGGAGCAATTTCCAAACGCCTGAAGGTACCACGTTCATCTGTACAAACAATAGTATGCAAGTATAAACACCATGGGACCACGCAGCCGTCATACCGCTCAGGAAAGAGACGCGTTCTGTCTCCTAGAGATGAATGTACTTTGGTGCGAAAAGTGCAAATCAATCACAGAACAACAGCAAAGGACCTTGTGAAAATGCTGGAGGAAACAGGTACAAAAGTATCTATATCCACAGTAAAACGAGTCCTATGTCGACATAACCTGAAAGGCAGCTCAGCAAGGAAGAAGCCACTGCTCCTAAACCGCCATAAAAAAGCCAGACTACGGTTTGCAACTGCACATGGGGCAAAGATCATACTTTTTGGAGAAATGTCTTCTGGTCTGATGAAACAAAAATAGAACTGTTTGGCCAAAATGACCATCGTTACGGTTGCAAGCCGAAGAACACCATCCCAACCGTGAAGCACGGGGGTGGCAGCATCATGCTGTGGGGGTGCTTTGCTGCAGGAGAGACTTGTGCACTTCACAAAATAGATGGCATCATGCGGATGGAAAATTATGTGGATATATTGAAGCAAAATCTCAAGACATCAGTCAGGAAGTTAAAGCTTGGTTGCAAAGGGGTCTTCCAAATGGACAATGACCCCTAGCATACTTCCAAAGTTGTGGCAAAATGGCTTAAGGACAACAAAGTCAAGGTATTGGAGTGGCCATCACAAAGCCCTGACCTAAATCCTATAGAAAATGTGTGGGCAGCACTGAAAAAGCGTTTGAGAATTGTGAAAAACTGAGTTTAAATGTATTTGGCTGTCTATGTAAACTTCCGACTTCAACTGTATGTACCCAGTAGGTCCCTCAGGTCCTCTGGCCAGTACCCTTGTAGTACTCGAGACCACATATTGAGTGTCTCAGTCTTGTCTCTGTGTCAGATACATTTGTACTCGGTCTTGTTAGGTCTTGTCAGATACATTTGTACTCGGTCTTGTCAGATACATTTGTACTCAGTCTCGGACAGTGAGAACTGGTAATTTCTTCAAGACCAGCGGAGTAAAAAACGAATTATCAGCTTCCATTCAGTCAGGGCATAAAACTGCTTCGGCAGGCCAAATATCTTAACAGTCTTTATATCTATTATAGACATGTTTGCGCAGGGGCGAACCTATAGGCCGTCACTGTGTGAGAGGTTCGTGATTCTGAAAGGATAGCAACCGTAATACTAGCACACTCATATAGGAGAGTGCACTTTTTGTAAAACACAAAGGGCCAGAGGTGTAGTGGAGGGTATACGCAGGTACAATAGAGAAATCATGCACAAAGTAGCCTACAAAATTGCAAAGCACACATAGCCTAGTTTAAGCAGAATATTATCTGCAGGCAGCAAGAGTGTGCAGCTCTCAACTGGTTTTTGCATGCAGCAGCTCACAGAATAATGACATCGGTACCCATTAGGGTAGGAAAGACGTTTCAATTTATGATATCTACCAGTAAATGCTAACTAAGGCAACAATGTTTATGCAAACCAGGTATTGAAAAAATGTATTCCGAAGTGTTGGTTAGTAGGCTATTTGTGACATGCAATTGTCATTAGGGCTATTACGGTGACCGTATTACTGCCACACGGGCTGTCATGAGTCATGAAGGCAGTCAAATTCTACGTGACCATTTAGTCACGGTAATTAGGCTTCTACAAGCTCTGATGCTGCTGATGGTCATTAGTAGCCTACCAAACTTGCTAACTGCCTGGTACTCAGCACTCTATTGTCCCTCTAATCCAGGGGTGTCAAACTCATTTTAGCTCAGGGGCCACATGGAGGAAAATCTATTCCCAAGTGGGCCGGACCGGAAAAATCATGGTATATATAACTTAAAAACAACAACTTCAGATTGTTTTCTTTGTTTTAATACGATCAACATACAACATAAAGCTGGAGCCTGAGGACAGTGTGTCCAAAATAGTACAAGCACAACATCACTATTAATCATAAAACACGTCAAGTTTATTTGAAAATTCTAAAGAAAAAGAACACACAAACACACAATGCCTCAGTGATTAACATAAGTGTTTCACAGATCACAGAACTATATCAGGGTGTCATTTCTCAGGCAGAAATGTAGATAAAAATAATGAAATCCTGTTCCCCAAACAAGTGCAAGAACCACAGAGTCAAGAATAGGTTAAATATACAAATAAAATAAAATCAATTAAAAACAATAGCACATCAACATAAAAACATATAAACATAAAGCTGGAGCCTGAGGACAGTGTCCAAAAGCACAACATCACTATTAATCATAAAACACCTCAAGTTATTTGAAAGTTCTGAGGACAAAGAACACACAAACACACAATGCCTCAGTGATTCACAGAAGTATATCACAGATCACATAACTATATCAGGGTGTCATTTCTCAGGCAGAAATGTAGATCAAAATAATGAAATCCTGTTCCCCAAACAAGTGCAAGAACCACAGAGTCAAGAATACAGTGGGGAAAAAAAGTATTTAGTCAGCCAACAATTGTGCAAGTTCTCCCACTTAAAAAGATGAGAGAGGCCTGTAATTTTCATCATAGGTACACGTCAACTATGACAGTCAAAATGAGGAAAAAAAATCCAGAAAATCACATTGTAGGATTTTTAATGCATTTATTTGCAAATTATGGTGGAAAATAAGTATTTGGTCAATAACAAAAGTTTCTCAATACTTTGTTATATACCCTTTGTTGGCAATGACACAGGTCAAACGTTTTCTGTAAGTCTTCACAAGGTTTTCACACACTGTTGCTGGTATTTTGGCCCATTCCTCCATGCAGATCTCCTCTAGAGCAGTGATGTTTTGGGGCTGTCGCTGGGCAACACGGACTTTCAACTCCCTCCAAAGATTTTCTATGGGGTTGAGATCTGGAGACTGGCTAGGCCACTCCAGGACCTTGAAATGCTTCTTACGAAGCCACTCCTTCGTTGCCCGGGCGGTGTGTTTGGGATCATTGTCATGCTGAAAGACCCAGCCACGTTTCATCTTCAATGCCCTTGCTGATGGAAGGAGGTTTTCACTCAAAATCTCACGATACATGGCCCCATTCATTCTTTCCTTTACGCGGATCAGTCGTCCTGGTCCCTTTGCAGAAAAACAGCCCCAAAGCATGATGTTTCCACCCCCATGCTTCACAGTAGGTATGGTGTTCTTTGGATGCAACTCAGCATTCTTTGTCCTCCAAACACGACGAGTTGAGTTTTTACCAAAAAGTTCTATTTTGGTTTCATCTGACCATATGACATTCTCCCAATCCTCTTCTGGATCATCCAAATGCACTCTAGCAAACTTCAGACGGGCCTGGACATGTACTGGCTTAAGCAGGGGGACACGTCTGGCACTGCAGGATTTGAGTCCCTGGCAGCGTAGTGTGTTACTGATGGTAGGCTTTGTTACTTTGGTCCCAGCTCTCTGCAGGTCATTCACTAGGTCCCCCCGTGTGGTTCTGGGATTTTTGCTCACCGTTCTTGTGATCATTTTGACCCCACGGGGTGAGATCTTGCGTGGAGCCCCAGATCGAGGGAGATTATCAGTGGTCTTGTTTGTCTTCCATTTCCTAATAATTGCTCCCACAGTTGATTTCTTCAAACCAAGCTGCTTACCTATTGCAGATTCAGTCTTCCCAGCCTGGTGCAGGTCTACAATTTTGTTTCTGGTGTCCTTTGACAGCTCTTTGGTCTTGGCCATAGTGCAGTTTGGAGTGTGACTGTTTGAGGTTGTGGACAGGTGTCTTTTATACTGATAACAAGTTCAAACAGGTGCCATTAATACAGGTAACGAGTGGAGGACAGAGGAGCCTCTTAAAGAAGAAGTTACAGTTCTGTGAGAGCCAGAAATCTTGCTTGTTTGTAGGTGACCAAATACTTATTTTCCACCATAATTTGCAAATAAATTCATAAAAAATCCTACAATGTGATTTTTGGAATTTTTTTTCTCAATTTGTCTGTCATAGTTGACGTGTACCTATGATGAAAATTACAGGCCTCTCTCATCTTTTTAAGTGGGAGAACTTGCACAATTGGTGGCTGACTAAATACTTTTTTTCCCCACTGTAGGTTAAATATACAAATAAAATAAAATCAATTAAAAACAATAGCACATCAACATAAAAACATCTAAACATAAATCTGAAAGCGTTGCTCAAACTCCCGTAACAATCCCGTTATTTTATCTTTGAACCGCTTCATGTCTGCCACATGTTGGGTCGCGCACACATTTTTCAGACAGGGGAAGTGAGCTGCATCACCACCGGCAAGTTGCGTCTCCCACAATGACAGCTTCAACTTGAAAGAACGTATGCTGTCATAATACTGCGTGACAACTTTGTTGCGCCCTTGCAGCTGTTTGTTCAAGTTATTCAGGTGCTCTGTAACATCCACCATAAATGCAAGGTCCTGCATCCATTCTGCGGAATGAAATTCTAACACTGGTTTGCCCTTTTCTTCCATGAACTGTTCAATTTCTTCTCGTAAATCAAAGAAACGCCTCAGCACAGCATCTCGGCTTAACCATCTTACCTCAGTGTGGTATGGCAGGCCATAGATGTGGTCTTTCTCTCTGAGAAGGCTGTCAAACTGACAGTGATTCAGGCTTCTGGATCGGATGAAATTAACAGTTTGGATGACCACCTTCATGACGTTATCCATCTTTAATGACTTGCAACACAAAGCCTCCTGGTTCAAAATACAGTGAAAAGTCAAAAAATCACGTCCTCCATTTGCAGATTGCACTTTCTCTCTGAACTTTGTCACAACGCCTGCTTTTTTCCCGATCATTGAGGGCGCACCATCTGTAGCCAGGCTGACAGCGCGGGACCAGTCCACTCCGACCCTTTCCAGCGCGCCGACGAGTGCGGTAAAAATATCAGCTGCTGTCGTTGTATCTGTCATCGGCACCAACTCCACAAACTCCTCGGTGACGGTCAATGTGTCATCAACTCCGCGGATGAAAATGGCCAGTTGTGCAACATCTGTAATGTCCGTGCTTTCATCAATTGCAACCGAAAACGCAATAAATGACTTTACTTTTTGCTTCAACTGGCTGTCCAAATCCACTGAAAGATCGGAAATCCTGTCTGCAACTGTGTTTCTTGTCAGGCTGATATTTGCAAAAGCCTGCCGCTTTTCAGGGCACACAATCTCCGCTGCCTTCATCATGCATGTTTTTACAAATTCACCCTCACTAAATGGTTTTGAAGCCACTGCGATTTCATTAGCAATGAGGTAGCTAGCTTTCACTGCAGCGTCACTGATGTCTCGGCTGTGAGTAAACACAGACTGCTGTTTCTTCAGACCCGCCAACAGTTCATTCACCTTCTCTCATCTCCGCTGTCCTTGAAAGTTGTCATATTTGTCAGCATGAAGACTCACATAGTGGCGACGAAGGTTATATTCTTTCAGCACTGCAACATGCTCTGAACACACCAAACATACAGCTTTCCCATTCAATTCCGTGAATAAATAGGATGACCATTTTTCTTGGAACACTCTGCACTCTGCGTCCACTTTTCTCTTTTTTGACAGAGACATATTGGGGCAATGAGGGTGCCAAAGCACATAATGTTAAAAGTAGAAGCCGAAATAAATATTGCGGGCAAAACAAAGTAGCTCATTGGCTGCACGTGCTTGACCTACTTGCTCTGCCCCGGTATAAACAGTTTGCTTGCTTAACACAATTGCTATTGCGCCATCCAGTGGACGCAATTGGAACAGCAGTTTATTTTATAGAAAAATTGCAGCGCATTTTTATACTTTACAAATTATTATTATTATTATTTTTATTTTTTCAAAATCATCTCGCGGGCCGGATTAAACCCGTTTGCGGGCCTGATCCGGCCCGCGGGCCGGACGTTTGACACCCCTGCTCTAATCACTCTGACATCAATGCAAATGTATTCTAAAATCTAATCAAACACTTCATGAGAGCCCATGAGCTCATGTTGCGCAACATTTCTATAGGCTATGCAGTTGTGCGAGAAAACAGAGTGATGGCCTCTATTAAAAAGAGGAGAATCCTATCAGCTTTCTATAGGCTAGGCCTACTATAGTTATTTCTCAACTTTCCTAATATTAAGCAAATATTAAGCACATTGCTAATCTTTACAACAGGAGTATAGCCTACTTGGCTGGCATGAAAATGAACCACAGGAAATACAGTGGGGGAAAAAAGTATTCAGTCAGCCACCAATTGTGCAAGTTCTCACACTTAAAAATATGAGAGAGGCCTGTAATTTTCATCATAGGTACACGTCAACTATGACAGACGAATTGAGATTTTTTTTCTCCAGAAAATCACATTGTAGGATTTTTAATGAATTTATTTGCAAATTATGGTGGAAAATAAGTATTTGGTCACCTACAAACAAGCAAGATTTCTGGCTCTCACAGACCTGTAACTTCTTCTTTAAGAGGCTCCTCTGTCCTCCACTCGTTACCTGTATTAATGGCACCTGTTTGAACTTGTTATCAGTATAAAAGACACCTGTCCACAACCTCAAACAGTCACACTCCAAACTCCACTATGGCCAAGATCAAAGAGCTGTCAAAGGACACAAGAAAAAAAATTGTAGACCTGCACCAGGCTGGGAAGACTGAATCTGCAATAGGTAAGCAGCTTGGTTTGAAGAAATCAACTGTGGGAGCAATTATTAGGAAATGGAAGACATACAAGACCACTGATAATCTCCCTCGATCTGGGGATCCACGCAAGATCTCACCCCGTGGGGTCAAAATGATCACAAGAACGGTGAGCAAAAATCCCAGAACCACACAGGGGGACCTAGTGAATGACCTGCAGAGAGCTGGGACCAAAGTAACAAAGCCTACCATCAGTAACACACTACGCCGCCAGGGACTCAAATCCTGCAGTGCCAGACGTGTCCCCCTGCTTAAGCCAATACATGTCCAGGCCCGTCTGAAGTTTGCTAGAGTGCATTTGGATGATCCAGAAGAGGATTGGGAGAATGTCATATGGTCAGATGAAACCAAAATATAACTTTTTGGTAAAAACTCAACTCGTCGTGTTTGGAGGACAAAGAATGCTGAGTTGCATCCAAAGAACACCATACCTACTGTGAAGCATGGGGGTGGAAACATCATGCTTTGGGGCTGTTTTTCTGCAAAGGGACCAGGACGACTGATCCGTGTAAAGGAAAGAATGAATGGGGCCATGTATCGTGCCACCCTTCCATCAGCAAGGGCATTGAAGATGAAACGTGGCTGGGTCTTTCAGCATGACAATGATCCCAAACACACTGCCCGGGCAACGAAGGAGTGGCTTCGTAAGAAGCATTTCAAGGTCCTGGAGTGGCCTAGCCAGTCTCCAGATCTCAACCCCATAGAAAATCTTTGGAGGGAGTTGAAAGTCTGTGTTGCCCAGCGACAGCCCCAAAACATCACTGCTCTAGAGGAGATCTGCATGGAGGAATGGGCCAAAATACCAGCAACAGTGTGTGAAAACCTTGTGAAGACTTACAGAAAACGTTTGACCTGTGTCATTGCCAACAAAGGGTATATAACAAAGTATTGAGAAACTTTTGTTATTGACCAAATACTTATTTTCCACCATAATTTGCAAATAAATTCATAAAAAATCTAAATTTGTCTGTCATAGTTGACGTGTACCTATGATGAAAATTACAGGCCTCTCTCATATTTTTAAGTGGGAGAACTTGCACAATTGGTGGCTGACTAAATACTTTTTTTCCCCACTGTACATCCTCCATTCGCTATTTAAGTGCAGAGATTACATGTATCGAGACAGGTGCATGATAATGGTCCATTCTAAATCAAAACAAAACGTTTGACCTGTGTCATTGCCAACAAAGGGTATATAACAAAGTATTGAGAAACTTTTGTTATTGACCAAATACTTATTTTCCACCATTATTTGCAAATAAATTCATAAAAAATCTCAATTTGTCTGTCATAGTTGACGTGTACCTATGATGAAAATTACAGGCCTCTCTCATATTTTTAAGTGGGAGAACTTGCACAATTGGTGGCTGACTAAATACTTTTTTTCCCCACTGTACATCCTCCATTCGCTATTTAAGTGCAGAGATTACATGTATCGAGACAGGTGCATGATAATGGTCCATTCTAAATCAAAAGAATTTCACACATAAATTATTTAGTATATGTAAGGCACGATTAAATCAAGAATAGCCTGATGGGTGACAATATTAGCCTATCACTTGTGAATTATAGATGATCACTTGTGAATTATGCCCAGTTTAAGGCAAGAAACAATGCCTTTTTTTGTGACTTCTTCTAATCATAGTCGCACACCTCATGTAGCCCATAGGCCTATATGTTTTGATAAGGTTTGTATCACAACTAAAGTGGCCAAATAACTTCTTAAAATGAAGCACATTAATCCGTTTTACAAGGGTGTAGAGCCTAACTGGCATACACACTTTATGCAGCGTGTGAGTTTCAAATTTCGGGAAGATAATTTTCACCATAAAAATGCACCTTTAAAATAAAAGCATTTCATGCATAATCGCATTTGTGGTCACTTTTGATAATGCTGTTCTCCCACTAATGGAAGATTTGCGCTTAAAGCCTACTGTCGTGTGCGCATTGCTGCGCTTGTAATGTGAAGAAATAGCCTAATAGTTTATCAACATTTTAAGTTAAACGTTCTGATCTGTTGCGTCAGCCTCATTGCGTAAAAAAGTGTATTTGATGCTAGTGGTTATATTAATTTGGTATCTATCGTATCCCACAACTGTCTCAGATTATGTTTGGAATATTTATTTCTCGCACAGAATAGAATATGTCAACTTTTGTACTATGGAGTATATTAGATTGACATAGGCTAGTGCTTTTGCTGTTCGTTAGGCCTACTCATCTTGTATCTTGTTGGCTGAAGAAGAGTAAATGTGGACAGTTCTTCCAATATCTTCAATATGCACCTCGGAATTGAATCTGTCTTCACTTGTAGCCTGTGAGAAAGACCCGATCACGTGATGGAGAGCCGTGTGAGTGAGATGAAAGGTGCTTCGGAGTGGGCAGCATTTAGGGAGAAGGGCTGCAAAAGGCATGGATTTGGGGATGCCGCCGGGAAATTCGAGGCATTATCAAGTGCTTCTCAAATTGTGAATGAGAGACTGACGAAGTGTGTACAGCCTGCGCAAAAAACAAAGCAGAACTCATGCCTTTCAAGCAACTTTATTCAAATCATCATTAGAGTTGCATCATGCAGCCTTACAATGTATTAAAAATCAAAACATATAGCCCAACGTTTGTAGAACAACTAAAGTTACATGAATAACTCTAAATTAAGCATATAGGAGTACCTATTTATTTGTTAACGGCTCAACACAGAATAGCCGCATGTGCGCACTCCTTCAAATATCCTGTCTATTAAATTCAGCTTTGTTCAATTATATTCTTCATACTATAAAATAATATAAAATAATGCCACGGAATTCTAAGAAAATCTTGTCTTCTAAATGAACTAGTGTAGCCCACAGCCATATGGCATAGCCAGATAAGGACCTAACATAAGGACAACTCAGTCTGTTTTTCTGAAATAGACTACATTTTCTTCATATCATGTTTCTTTAGACCTGTCTAAAATAAATAATGGATTTATTGTGAAGGTGTAGGCTATATTACATGGATTTATTAGAATTTTTAAAATGTAGATGTTCCAAAGGTCTGCATCAGTGGCTTGTAGGCTATATGTGGTAGCAATTCCCCATCGTTTATCAGTGCAATTTTCACGGTCAAGTAGCTGAAAAGTTTGAAAGGGTTTATGTAATGTTCCTTCGTTAGATTTTAGCTCATCTTGCTCTGGCTAGTATTAGTTGTTGATCTTGTTGTTGTTGATGTATATAACTGAGGGAGAGAGAGCCTACCTTTTCATGGTTGTTTGATCAATAGGACTGTAAAGTTCCCAAATGTAAGAGGACTCCCGTGGTGTTTACATATTTGCAGGAATCCATTCAGCTATTTTGTGGCTTTTGCGAATGCGTTCTAATGATCTAAAGTCGCGCTGTTGCAACTGCCTGTAAATACACGGTCCAGTTCAAAATGAATGATGGGAGGCCCGTGTGGCAAATGGCTTGTTTGTATAAAGGCCTACTGTAGTTCTGATTGGCTATAGCTCACCTGTCTGTGTAGACTCTGGTCCTGGACAAGACAGATGTTTTTATTCTGTTTTATTTACTGCAGTGTTTATTAATTGTCCAAATGCATGGCCGCTTTCCCACTCTATATTGCTATAGAAATTTCACAAATGCCTTAGTATATGTAATTCCCAAACATTGTAAGAATGTATGAAAACGTGAAAAGGACCATATCTAAATGGTTGCTTTTCAGAAATGTTTTTTAAAAAGTGTAATATTTTTACTGGGGGTGTATGTGAACAGATTTTTTAAAATATTTTATGTTGCTAAAATACTGTCAGTTCCACTTTAAATGCAACAATGTTTCACAGACATAAGTTATTTTCAAAGAGCGCTGCAATAGAAAACACAGTTCCACTCACCAGATGATGATCGCTTGAAACTTAACTTCTTGTTAAAAGTTATTCTTGGAAAGGGAGAAGCTAACAAATTAGCAACAACATTCTCTTTGATAACACCTGCTGCAGCCGCTGCAAACTAGCCGACAACAAAAGCTAGCTAGCTAGACCGTGGGAAAACTACTGCTCGCTATTGCGCAGTGATCTGTTGGCCTTCACGAAGGCAGAAGTGTCCATACGTTTTTGTAAAAATAGTCCCACTCATTAAGTTAAAATGTGATTTGTTTATTCCACTGTCACTCCAAAATGTTGCCCTAATACAGTTGAATTGCAGATGCCTTTATCTAGCTTCTGATGGCCTAGCCAATGGCCAACTTTGCTAGCTAAATGTATCGCTCCAGAGACCAGCAAAGACAAATATTTGTTTATCTTCAGTGTTAACCCTTTCCTTAACAACAAAAACTGAAGAGATTAAATCAGAACATCATTATAAATAATCATATCATTATAATTAAGCAATAAGGCCCGAGGGGATGTGGTATATGGCCAATATACCACGGCTAAGGGCTGTTCTTATGCACGACGCAACGCGGAGTGCCTGGACACAGCCCTTAGCCGTGGTATATTGGCCATATATGACAAACCCCCGAGGTGCCTTATTGCTATTATAAACTGGTTACCAACGTAATTAGAGCAGTTAAAATAAATGTTTTGTTGTACCCGTGGTATATGTTCTGATATACCACGGTTGTCAGCCAATTAGCATTCAGGGCTCAAACCACCCAGTTTATAGTTATTGTTATATTATTATAATAATGATTTTATAAACCCTTTGTTCCCCACTGTGTTTAGGTTAGTAATCATTTGTAGAGTGGCTTTATTTTCACTCAGCATCCATATGTTGTTCTGAAATATGAAGACAAAAATACTGGTCATTTTGAACTATTATTATGGTGGTGATTTAACAAAATTACAATCATGGACTTGAATTGGACTCGCATTTTTCTGGTCTCGGTCTTGACTCGGTCTCGGACCCCTTGTCCCCCTCTGTCACGGTTTCGGCCGAGGCTGCTCCTCCTCCTGGTTCGGGCAGGCTTTGGCGGTCGTCGTCCCCGGAGTACTAGCTGCCACCGATCGATGTTTCATGTTCGTTTGGTTTTGTCTTTATGTTGTACACCTGTGTCTTGTTAGTCCTCGTTAGCGTCCTATTTAGTTCTCGTTGGTTGTGTTTGTCTTTGTGTGTGATTGCTCTTCTCTTTCCGTGTTGGAGCTACGTACTTCCCTCCAGTGTTTTGGAGAGGGCTTTCGCACATGTTAGTGCACCGTTTGTTTGACGCCTGTGTGCGCCGTGATTTCACCTTCTGGCTTATTGTGCTTATTTTCTACGTGATTATTGCACTAAAGTCTTTTGGACTGAGCTTCTGCGTCCTGCGCTTGATTCATGCACCACACCCACCTTCAGCACCCCTTGACAGAATCACACACCAGAATGGAATCAGCAGGATCTGCAGTTACGCCTGAGTCGCTCGAGGAGCATGTCCGCGGCCAAGATGACCAGATACGACAACTGGGGACCGCTCTACAGGACGTCATCAACACCTTGCACCGATGGGAGGCCAGCGGGGTACCCACGCCTCCACCTACCCTGCCAACCCCATCGGCCGGTCCACCAGTCCCAGGTCCGGAACCCAGGGGGATTCGGCTCTCGCTCCCGAGGGCGTATGATGGAACAGCTGCCGGGTGTCAGGGGTTCCTCCTGCAGGTGGAGCTCTACCTGGCCACTGTACACCCGGTGCCCTCAGGACACGAGAGCGTTTCCGCCCTCATCTCCTGTCTCACGGGCAAGGCATTGGAGTGGGCTAACGCCGAGTGGAGGAAGATGGACGCCAACACCATCTCCTACGCCGAGTTCTCCCGTCGCTTCAAGGCCGTGTTCGACCATCCACCTGAGGGCAAAGCGGCGGGGGAGCGTCTAGTCCACTTGAGACAGGGGAGGAGGAGCGCACAGGCGTTTGCTCTAGAGTTCCGGACTCTAGCGGAGGACGCAGGGTGGAATGAACGGGCCCTCATCGACCATTTTCGATGTAGCCTACGGGAGGACGTTCAACGTGAGTTGGCCTGCAGGGATACCCATCTTACCTTCGACCAGTTGGTCGATATGTCCATCCGTCTGGACACCCTGCTGGCCACCTGTGGACGTCCCGAGGAGGGTCCGTCCATTCCGCCCTCCGGCACCTCCGAGCCGAGCCCTATGGAGCTCGGGGGTGCCGGCGCTAGAGAAAGGAGGAGGAGGAGCCCGAGGGGGCCTGTCTCCTGCACCAAGTGCGGTCGTGGAGGGCACACTGCGGCCAGGTGCTGGGGAGGGTTCTCCGGGGGAGAAGACAACAGGCCACGCACTGGGGGGGCCTCCCAGGTGAGTAGACGTCCCACTTACCCAGAGCTTTCTGTTGCGCACTTTTGTATACCTGTTTGTTTTCCACAGGTTGCACCTCATTCCCAGCATAAGGCGCTAGTAGATTCAGGCGCAGCTGGGAATTTTGTTGATCTGAAGTTTTGTGTAGATTTAGGGATCCCTCTCCTACCTGTTGACAAACCGTTTCCCGTTCATGCCTTAGATAGCCGTACGTTGGGGTCGGGGTTGATTGGGAGATCACAGCGCCACTTAAGATGTGTGCGCAGGGGGGTCATGAAGAGACTATACAGCTGTATCTGATCGACTCTCCTGCGTACCCAGTGGTGCTGGGAATTCCCTGGTTAAGCACCCATAACCCTGCTATTTCGTGGCAACAGAGGGCTCTCGATGGGTGGTCTGCTCAGTGCGAGGGGCGATGTCTGGGTGTTTCCGTGGGGGCGACTTCGGTGGAAAGTCCAAACCAAGTGCCCGCACTGCACATTCCGCCTGAATATGGGGATTTAGCTCTCGTGTTTAGCAAGACTAGGGCGACGCAGTTGCCTCCTCATAGACAGGGGTATTGTGCGATTGATCTCCAGGCAGGAGCAGCGCTCCCACGGAGCCATGTGTATCCTTTGTCTCAAGAGGAGAGAAAAGCTATGGAGACTTACATAGCCGAATCTTTGAGACAGGGATACATTCGGCCCTCCACTTCTCCCACCTCCTCGAGCTTCTTTTTTGTGAAAAAGAAAGATGGAGGGTTGCGCCCGTTCATTGATTACCGTGGTCTCAATCAGATTACTGTGAAATACAGTTATCCACTCCCTCTGATTGCGACCATGACGGAGTCATTGCATGGAGCGCGGTTTTTCACAAAACTGGATCTCAGGAGCGCAAATAACTTGGTGCGCATTAGGGAGGGCGACGAATGGAAGACAGCGTTTAGTACCACGTCAGGTCATTTCGAGTATCTTGTCATGCCATATGGGTTGATGAATGCTCCATCAGTCTTCCAATCCTTCGTAGATTACATTTTCCGGGATATGCAGGGACAAGGGGTGGTCGTGTACATTGATGATATTCTGGTGTCCTCGTCTACCCGAGCCGAGCATGTCACCCTGGTGCGCCGTGTATTGAGGAGGCTGTTGGAGCACGACCTATATGTCAAGGCAGAGAAATGTCTGTTTTTCCAGGAGTCGGTCTCCTTTTTGGGTTATCGGTTGTCCGCGTCAGGGGTGAGAATGGAGGTGGATCGTGTGTCCGCTGTGCGTAATTGGCAAACCCCAACCACTGTAAAAGAGGTGCAGCAGTTCTTGGGCTTTGCGAATTACTACCGGAGGTTTATCCGGGGTTTTGGACAGGTGGCAGCTCCCATCACGTCCCTTCTGAAAGGGGGTCCGGTGCGTCTGCAGTGGTCAGCTGATGCGGACAGGGCCTTTGGGAGACTGAAGGACCTGTTTACGTCGGCTCCGGTGCTGGCGCATCCGGATCCCGCATTACCCTTTCAGGTTGAGGTGGACGCGTCTGAGGCAGGTATAGGGGCCGTTCTCTCTCAAAGGTCCGGCTCGCCACCTAAACTCCGCCCCTGTGCTTTTTACTCAAAAAAGCTCAGCCCGGCGGAGCGTAACTATGACGTTGGGGACAGGGAGCTGTTAGCTGTAGTTCAAGCCCTTAAGGTGTGGAGGCATTGGCTTGAGGGGGCTCAACACCCTTTCCTCATTTTGACTGACCATCGGAACCTGGAGTACATCCGGGCAGCGAGGAGACTGAACCCTCACCAGGCTCGATGGAGTATGTTTCTCACCAGGTTCGTATTTAAAATCACGTACATCCCTGGGTCCCACAATGGTAAGGCAGATGCACTGTCCCGGCGGTATGACACGGAGGAGAGGTCCGTTGAGCCTACTCCCATACTACCGGAGTCTTGCCTTGTGGCACCGGTGGTGTGGGAGGTCGATGCCGAAATCGAGCGAGCGTTGCGTACCGACCCCAGCCCTCCACAGTGTCCTGAGGGTCAGAGGTACGTTCCGCTCGAGATTCGGGATCGACTCATTTACTGGGCTCACACGTCACCCTCCTCTGGACATCCGGGTATTGGCCGGACAGTGCATTGCCTTAGCACTAAATACTGGTGGCCTACTTTGGCTAGGGATGTGAGGGTTTATGTCTCCTCCTGCTTGGTGTGCGCCCAGTGTAAGGCGCCCGACATCTGCCCAGGGGTAAGTTACAACCCCTGCCCGTTCCACAACGACCATGGTCCCACCTCTCGGTGGATTTTGTGACAGACCTTCCCCTCTCTCAGGGGAATACCACCATCCTGGTCGTTGTGGACCGGTTCTCAAAGGCCTGTCGTCTTCTCCCTATGACGGGTCTTCCTACTGCCCTACAGACCGCTGAGGCCCTATTTACCCACGTCTTCCGGCATTACGGGGTACCCGAGGATATAGTGTCTGATCGAGGCCCCCAGTTTACCTCCCGTGTTTGGAGAGCATTCATGGAGCGTTTGGGGGTCTCGGTTAGCCTTACCTCAGGGTACCACCCGGAGAGTAACGGGCAGGTAGAACGTGTCAACCAGGATGTGGGTAGGTTTCTGAGGTCGTATTGCCAGGACCGGCCTGAGGAGTGGGCATGGTACATTCCCTGGGCCGAGATGGCCCTGAACTCTCTCCGCCACTCCTCTACCAACCTAACCCCCTTCCAATGTGTGTTAGGTTACCAGCCGGTTCTGGCACCGTGGCAGCAGTCCTTCGTCACAAGGCGAGCGCCGATCTCCACCGCAGTGAGGGGCCGGTGTACGCACCCGGAGATCGAGTCTGGCTCTCTACCAGAAACCTACCCCTCCGCCTGCCCTGCCGGAAGCTGGGTCGGCGGTTTGTGGGGCCATTTAAAGTCCTGAGAAGATTGAACGAGGTGTGTTATAGGTTACATCTACCTGTTGAGTATAAGAATATTAACCCCTCGTTCCATGTGTCTCTTCTCAGGCCGGTGGTAGCTGGTCCACTCCAGGACAATGAGATAGGAGAGACTCCTCCGCCCCCACTGGACATCGAGGGGGCTCCGGCGTACACCGTTCTGTCCATCTTGGACTCCAGACGCCGGATGGGGGGTCTACAGTATCTTGTGGAGTGGGAGGGGTACGGCCCGGAGGAGCGGTGCTGGGTGCCGCGGAGGGACATCCTAGACCCATCTCTCCTGTCGGAGTTCCACCGGGACCATCCCGCGCGCCCTGCTCCGCGTCCTCCTGGTCGTCCCCGAGGCCGGGGTCGGCGCACGGCTGGAGCCGCGCGTCAAGGGGGGGGGGTACTGTCACGGTTTCGGCCAAGGCTGCTCCTCCTCCTTGTTCGGGCAGGCTTCGGCGGTCGTCGTCCCCGGAGTACTAGCTGCCACCGATCGATGTTTCATGTTCGTTTGGTTTTGTCTTTATGTTGTACACCTGTGTCTTGTTAGTCCTCGTTAGTGTCCTATTTAGTTCTCGTTGATTGTGTTTGTCTTTGTGTGTGATTGCTCTTCTGTTTTCGTGTTGGAGCTACGTACTTCCCTCCAGTGTTTTGGAGAGGGTTTTCGCACATGTTAGTGCGCCGTTTGTTTGACGCCTGTGTGCGCCGTGATTTCGCCTTCGGGCTTATTGTGCTTATTTTCTACATGATTATTGCACTAAAGTCTTTTGGACTGAGCTTCTGCGTCCTGCGCTTGATTCATGCACCACACCCACCTTCAGCACCCCTTGATACCCTCGCGGTTTCGGTCTTGGCTCGGTCTCGCCTCCGGTCTTGGTCAGACTCGCTTTAGGTGGTCTCTGCCTCTGGCACTGGCCTTTTAACTATCCCAATGCCTAGGACCAAGAAGCATGGAGAGGCAGCCTTTAGTTATTATGCACCCAGCCTTTAGACCTGCCAGAGAACCTAAGGGGGGACGAAACTGTGGACATATTTAAAAGAGACCTTAAAAAACATATTTTTAGCTTTGCTTTTCATTAGTGTGCTTTTTAGTTGTTCAGTTTGTGTCATTCTTTAGTTTTTGTATCTTATGTTTGTTTTGTAGTAAATATTTCAGCATTTGTTTTAATTGTTTTTTATTCGTTTTTTCCTGTAAAGCACATTGCGTTGCATTCCATGTCTGAAATGTGCTGTATAGATAAAGTTTGATTTGATTTGATTGCAGATTTGGAAGTTCGGAGTATGTTTGACAACCACACATTTCCTAATTTGTAAAGCTCCAACCTCAGAACGGCACTCAGGAAGCCAATTCTGCTGTCTGTAGCATGAAAACAAAATTATCTCTTATCCTGAATCTCTTCATGGAGGTTCTGAAGGTGGTTAAGCATGTCTCAGATCTCAGTTTGACAGCAGGGGAAAATATAAAAGAGAACACTCGTCCACAAAACAGGTCATAATTATTAGATGATGTGGAGGTGTTTTCTGTCAAGCTCTCCATTGATTATGTAATGAAACCAAAACTGTCATCATCTGCAGGTGCTCAGCTGTCAGCTCCATCAAATATGTGCTCAGAGGACCAGAAAATATTATTCATTCCATTGCCAAAAACTGTTTCAAATTGGTGTAAAACTTATATGAATATTCATAAAAAAGAACCTTGTGTTCTGTTCAAGATATAATTTGAGTTAGGGCTCAACTGTGGGATATAGTTTGCATCCAATTTGTATATTGTGACACATACAAATGCAGATTAGTTTGGCAACAAATTGATAAACGTTTTCCAAAAAACATTAAGCTCATTTCGTAGACATGGAATTTCACAATGGCATTACAATGTCTCTCAAAATTCTCTGTCCCTTTCCTGTGTTGCTATGCCATCCACCCACCCTCATCTCTCTCTCTCTCGCGATTAAGCTCAGCTGCGTAGACATGGAATCATCAAGGACATGAAGTCCAGTCTCTCTCTCTCGCTCTCTCTCTGCTATGCTTCTCTCTCTCATCTCGCTCTGCGCTCTCTCTCTGCTCTCTGCTCTCTCTCTCTCTCTCTCTCTCTCTCTCTCTCTCTCTCTCTCTCTCTTGCTCTCGCTCTCTCATCCCTGCTTTCCTTCTGCCATTGCTTAAACATAAAATATGTGAGAACATACCTTACAAATGGGTGAGAAAATATTCAATTTAGGAGAGGTGTAAAGTCAAGAGACTCCTTCCTCTCAGTCCCTGTCCCTGTTTGTTGCAATGATGTGTGTTTGACCCGCTCGCTCCTCTGCTATCTGGTGGTTGACATCAACAGCTGGCATAAGTCCCTCAATTTCTCTCTCTCTCTCTCTCTCTCTCTCTCTCTCTCTCTCTCTCTCTCTCTCTCTCTCTCTCTCTCTCTCTCGCTCACTACAGAGCTGTTGCTCTGTCTCTTCCTCTCTCTCCCTTCCTCTTTCTGTTGTAATGAACCATTCACCTCATCACTTCTCACAGAAGGATAAACATCTGTGAGTTTGAACATTTCTTTAAATCATATGTACTATATGTGTATACACCTTCTAAGCTGACTTTTCAACCATATCAGTTGGATAGTGGGATATGGTGCCTTTCACTGACAATGCTAGCTGCTGCTTATTTAATGACTGTCTGGCGTCACTGTTTTACCACCTATAAGCATGATTAACACACAATTAGCACACTGATTAAAGAGCGACACAGGACGTGCCAGCCTGAAAGCACTGATAATGGAATAGGCTTACTTAGTCTAGCATAGGGATACAGGTCGCTCACACAAGTCTAGCATAGGGATACAGGCAGTGGTGGAAAACATACTCAGTTGTCATACTTGAGTAATAGTAAAGACACCTTAATAGAAAATGACTCAAGTAAAAGTAAAAGTCACCCAGTAAAATACTACTTAGGTAAAAGTCTAAAAGTATCTGGTTTTAAATGTACTTAAGTACAGTGGTGGAAAAAGTATTCAATTGTCATACTTGAGTAAAAGTAAATGCTATACATCAAATTCTATATTTTAAGCAAACCAGATGGCAAGATTTCCTTCTTCTACAGACGGGTACACTCCAACACTCAGATATAATTTACAAACGCAGTATTTGTGTATAGTGAATCCGCCAGATCAGAGGCAGTAGGGATGGCAACGCGTTATATTGATACACTATATATACACACAAGTATTTGGACACCCCTTCAAAATTACTGGATTCGGCTATTTCAGCCACACCCGTTGCTGACAGGTGTATAGAATCGAGCACCCAGCCATGCAATCTCCATAGACAAATATTGGCATTAGAATGGCCTTACTGAATAGCTCAGTGACTTTCAACGTGGCACCGTCATAGGAAGCCATCTTTCCAACAAGTCAGTTCGTCAAATTTCTGCCTTGCTAAAGCTGCCCCAGTCAACTGTACATGTTGTTATTGTGAAGTGGAAACATATAGGAGCAACAGCGGCTCAGCCGCAAAGTGGTAGGCCACACAAGCTCATAGAAATAAAGGTCTGGGGCTGTTTTTCATGGTTCGGGCTAGGCCCCTTAGTTCCAGTGAAGGGAAATCATAACGCTAGAGCATACATTGACATTCTAGATGATTCTATGCTTCCAACTTTGTGTCAACAGTTTGGGGAAGGCCCTTTCCTGCTTCAGCATGACAATGCCCCTGTACACAATGCGAGGTCCATACAGAAATGGTTTGTCGAGATTGCTGTTGAAGAACTTGACTGGCTTGCACAGAGCCCTGACCTCAACTCCATCGAACACCTTTGGGATGAATTGGAACGCCGACTGCGAGCCAGGTCTAATCGCCCAACATCAATGCCCGACATCAAGTGGAACGCCTTTCCAAAAGAGTGGAGGCTGTTATAGCAGCAAAGGGGGGACCAACTCCATATTAATGCCCATGATTTTGGAATGAGATGTTCGACGAGCAGGTGTCCACATACTTTGATCATGTAGTGTAGGTTCATGAATTGGACCAACATTTCTTTCCTTCCTGAGCATTCAACAGTTAACGAGTACTTTTTGGTGTCAGGGGAAATGTATGGGAGTAAAAAGTATATATTTTGTTTAGGAATGTAGTGGAGTAAAAGTAAAAGTTGTCAAAAACATAAATAGTAAAGTAAAGTACAGATACCCCCAAAAACTACTTTAGTAATACTTTAAAGTAGTTTTACTTAAGTACTTTACACCACTGGAAACAGGTAGCTTACACAAGTCTAGCATAGGGATACAGGTTCCCAGAAGATACCGACCCTACCTTTACTCTTGTCCTGACTGGTTGCATCACTGCCTAGTATGGCAACTGCTCGGCCTCCGATCGCAAGGCACTACAGAGGGTAGTGAGTACGGCCCAGTACATCACTGGGGCCAAGCTTCCTGCCATCTAGGACCTCTGTACCAGGCGGTGTCAGAGGAAGGCCCTAAAAATTGTCAAAGACTCCAGCCACCCTAGTCATAGACTGTTCTCTCTGCTACTGCTCGGCAAGCGGTACCGGAGCACCAAGACTAGGTCCAAAAGGGTTCTTAACAGCTTCTACCCCCCACCCCCTCTTTTACGCTGCTGCTACTCTCTGTTATTATCTATGCATAGTCACTTTAACACTACCCACTTGTACACTACCAGTCAAAAGTTTGGACACAGCTATTCATTCAAGGGTTTGTCTTAGGTTTTACAATTTTTTACAATGTAGAATAATAGTGAAGACATCAACACTATGAAGTAACACATATGGAATCATATAGTAACCAAAAAAGTGTTAAACAAATCAAAATATATTTTATATTTGAGATTCTCCAAATAGTCACCCTTTGCCTTGATGACAGCTTTGCACACTCTTGGCATCCTCTCAACCAGCTTCACCTGGAATGCTTTTCCAACAGTCTTAAAGGAATTCCCACATATGCGTAGCACTTGTTGGCTGCTTTTCCTTCACTCTGCAGTCCGACTCATCCAAGCACTGTTCCGAGTCTACAGACTCAACACTTTCGGTGTTGATTTAACACTCTCAGTGTTCATTTGTTTGTTTTTTTACACTGGAGAATTTTCAGTGTACTCATACTGTACTGGGGCTCCATGCAAGATCTCACCTCGTGGGGCATCAATGATCATGAGGAAGGTGAGGGAGCAGCCCATAACTACACGGCAGCACCTGGTCAATGACCTGAAGAGAGCTGGGACCACAGTCTCAAAGAAAACCATTAGTAACACACTACGCCGTCATGGATTAAAATCCTGCAGCGCACGCAAGGTCCCCCTGCTCAAGCCAGCGCTTGTCCAGGGCCGTCAGAAGTTTGCCAATGACCATCTGGATGATCCAGAGGAGGAATGGGAGAAGGTCATGTGGTCTGATGAGACAAAAATAGAGCTTTTTGGTCTAAACTCCACTCGCTGTGTTTGGAGGAAGAAGAAGGATGAGTACAACCCCAAGAACACCATCCCAACCGTGAAGCATGGAGGTGGAAACATCATTCTTTGGGGATGCTTTTCTGCAAAGGGGACAGGACGACTGCACCGTATTGAGGGGAGGATGGATGGGGCCATGTATCACGAGATCTTGGCCAACAACCGCCTTCCCTCAGTAAGAGCATTGAAGATGGGTCGTGGCTGGGTCTTCCAGCATGACAACGACCCGAAACACACAGCCAGGGCAACTAAGGAGTGGCTCCGTAAGAAGCATCTCAAGGTCCTGGAGTGGCCTAGCCAGTCTCCAGACCTGAACCCAATAGAAAATCTTTGGAGGGAGCTGAAAGTCCGTATTGCCCAGCGACAGCCCCAAAACCTGAAGGATCTGGGGAAGGTCTGTATGGAGGAGTGAGCCAAAATCCCTGCTGCAGTGTGTGCAAACCTGGTCAAGACCTACAGGAAACGTATGATCTCTGTAATTGCAAACAAAGGTTTCTGTACCAAATATTAAGTTCTGCTTTTCTGATGTATCATGTCATGCAATAAAATGGAAATGAATTACTTAAAAATCATACAATGTGATTTTCTGGATTTTTGTTTTAGATTCCATCTCTCACAGTTGAAGTGTACCTATGATAAAAATTACAGACCTCTACATGATTTGTAAGTTGGAAAACGTGGTCCTCTGTAGCTCAGCTGGTAGAGCACGGCGCTTGTAACGCCAAGGTAGTGGGTTCGATCCCCGACTGTAAGTCGCTTTTGATAAAAGTGTCTGCTAAATGGCATATTATTATTAAAACCTGCAAAATCCAGGAATAAGCAGTTCATTATTATTTCACCAAAACTTGCTTTCTTTTGAAGTATGCACTTTGGCTGACAGGAGTGTAATCAAGTGCAGGGGAAGAAAAAGAAAATGGCCATTATAAATAGTCATATTTTTAGCACTTAAATTTTGCCTTCAATATGCAATTTAGTTTTTCGAAGAAACCCATTTACTAGAACTGTGTTTTCTGCTTTAATTTTCCATTGCCTACCAAAACTCACTCTCCAAATGCCATGCATTTGAGTAACTTAATATATGTCGTTATCCCGTTTAACTGACCTGGAAGGCATTCACTGAACTGATCAATTAGGTGTGGTGCCTTGTTGGATCAAAATCCTGCAGTACCTGCGGCACTCCAGGAACAGGGTTGCCTATCCCTGCACTACAGTATAGCCCCATACTTGCCTTATAGATGGATCATAACTCATTGGGCACTATTACTTAGAAAATATCAATGCTGCGTCCCAAATGGCACCCTATTCCCTATATAGTGTACTGGTCAAAAGTAGTGCACTAAAGGGAATAGCGTGCTATTTGGGATGTAGACCATTTCTGTGACCTCACAGGCACAGACAACCTTTGAATAATTGAACAACTCACCTAGGGCTGTGTTGTCAGCCGCTGATTGTCAAGCAAATAACTGCCGGTCTCACGGTAATTTACCGTTAATTAACATAAACACATTTAGCATCGCCTGGCTTCCACGCGTAGCCTACAAGCCACTGATGCAGACCTTTGGAACATACATTTAAAAAGTCTAATAAATCCATTTAATATAGCCTACACCATCACAATAAATCCCTTATTTATTTTAGACAGGTCTAAAGAAACATGATATTAAGGAAATACTCAGAGTTGTCATTATGTTAGGCCCTGATATGGCTATGCCATATGGCTGTGGGCTACACTAGTTCATTGAGCAGACAAGATTTGCTTAGAGTTCCGTGGCATTATTTTTGTATTATTTTGTAGTATGTAGTATACAATTGAACACAGCTGAATAAAATAGAAAGGATATTTTCTCCGAAAGATTTCCAAGGAAGTGCGCACATGCGGCTATTCTGTTTTGAGCGGTTAACAAAGAAACAGGTCCTCCTATATGCTTAATTTAGAGTTATTTATGCAACTTTAGTTGTGATACAAATGTTGGACTAGATGTTTTGATTTTTAATACATTCTAAAGCTGCATGATGCGACTCTTATGATAATTTGAAAAAAGTTGCATGAAAGGCATGAGCTCTGATTTGTTTATTGTGCAGGCTGCACACACTTCATCAGTCTCTCATTCACAATTATTATTATTATTATTATTATTATTATTATTATTATTATTATTATTATTGTGAAAAATAAAATGTGGGGGGGGTAGATCAGCTTTAATATTGCAGATAGATTGTAACTTCCATCAATGTAATTGTCTGCATCACTTCCAATCCCCCATGTTTTTTTATATACACATACATACATATAAATACATATACATACATATATACATATCCTTTAAAAAAATATGTTTCCCTTTATTACTTTCCAACCCAATCACCCCTTCCCTAATTGGAGTAAACTAGTGAACGCTTAGGCCTCTACTTCCAGCTCATACATACTATATTCATTTTACATTTTATGGACACAGTCAATTTTACTATAATTATGTTTTCTTTGTTTTTACTCCTGAACTTCCTCTACCCTCAACCTCTCCGATCATTTTCATGATGTCCATCCGGTTTGCTTCTATATGCCATATCTCTCCAACTATGCTCCTTCACAAAAGCTCTCAACCTATAACCTATATACTAATTATGGACACAGCATGCCCTACATTAGTTATCTTGCTGTTATTAGTTGTTGTTAGTTGTTATTAGTCTCATCCTTCAGCTCCATTCAACACCTCCCATCTGTCTCTTAACACCATCCATATTGGATTTCTATTTGCCATATATTGTTCAACTGTACTGTGATGTTCAACAAAAGTTCTGAACCCTTCTATTCTCATTGTTTCTACAGATTGTACATTGAAAATATTTTTTTTTGCTAAAAGTATTATTATATTATTGATCGATTGACTATGACTTTTTAGATCACCCAATAGTGCTACCTGCAGGGTTAGCTCCAGGTAAATATTGCAATCCTTCAGCCATTCCTGGACATGTGACCAAAATCAAGCCACAAATGGACAGTACCAAAACAAATGTCGCAGCAAAATCTGCAGAGCTGGGAAGATTGTCTCCCCCATATAAATAACATTCTATTGGTAGCAAGAATTTTGTATATTAATTTAAATTCTAAGTTTTGAATCCAGCATCGTTTTGCGTATCAGTTCATAAACACTATGCCATGGAATCGGTACGTCAAAAATCTATTCCCAACTATTTTGCAATCTATATGGGACGGCTGTCAATCCTTTGGTCCTTAAATGAAACTGGTATACTTTTTTAATAATCACAATTTTCTTTAACCAATTATGTTCTTTAATGCAGGGCCGACAGACAAGTTCCACTTTCCTCTTCCATTTTTGCAGTAATGCTGCAATTATTTGGTTGTAATTTTGTCTAGAGCAGACATATCCATATGTTTTTGTTAGCTGCATGTGCAACATAACTCCACCAGTCCTACCTATGATATCATTTACGAAGATTATACTTTTCTTTTTTTAAATAAAAAAATACTGCTATTTTATCAATTCGTTTATTTGAGTTTAACCACAATATTTGTTGCATTATTTGTTCTGTCTTTTCTGGAGGATTAAATTAAAATTGCAACCAACTTTCTATGGCTTGTTTTAGAAATAGTGATATTTGGGAGATGATTTCCTTTTCAAATAACTGAAAGTGAGAGGTTGTAATCTGAATAAAGGGAAAAAGGCCATTCTTTTTACTAATTTGCTGGAGAAGCAGTTTAAGTATAACTTTTGTATGACTGAAGCTTTTAGTGATAGGTCTAATTCTTTAATATTTAATCATTTCTGTCCTCCGAATTCATATTAATTATATAAATAAGCCTGTTTAAGTTAATCTGGCTTGTCGTTCCAAATAAAATTGAACATTTTTTTCTCATATAATTTAAAAAACTGTTCGCTAGGCGTTGGCAAGACCATAAGCACGTAGGTAAACTGGGATAATGCTAAAGAGTTAATTAGGTGATTTTTCCACAAATATTTACATTTTAGTCATTTAGCAGACGCTCTTATCCAGAGTACATGTTTTTTTTTTTTTCATACTGGCCCCCTGTGGGAATCAAACCCACAACCCTGTCGTTGCAAGCACCGTGCTCTACCAACTGAGCTACATGGAGCCGTGTATAGACAGGTATTTACCTTTCCATGGTAGCAAGATCTTATCTATTTTTGCTAACTTTCTATTAAAATGTATTGGAGTGAGATCATTTATTTAATTTGGGATATGTATTCCGAGTATATCCACATCACCATCAGACCATTTTATTGGTAAATTACATGGTAATGTAAAAATTGTATTTTTTAGTGATCCAATACATAATATAGTACATTTATCATAATTTGGTTGTAATCCAGAGAGGTTAGAAAATGTATCTAGATCCTCTATGAGACTGTGGATTTGTGGAGTTAAAAGAAAACATGAATCATCAGCGTACAATGACACCTTTGTTTTTAAGCCCTGGATTTCTAATCCCTTGATATTATTGTTGGATATGATTTTAATAGCTAACATTTCGATGGCCATAATAAATAGATATGCCGATAGCGGACAACCTTGTTTTACTCCTCCTGACAAAACTTTCGGAGAAATAGCCATTACTTACTATTTTACACCTAGGGTTACTATACATGATTTTAACCCATTTTATAAGTTATTCTCCAAAATTGAAATGCTCCAGGCATTTATATATAAACTCCAGCTGTACTTTATCAAATGCCTTTTCAAAGTCTGCTATGAATAGCAGGCCTGGTTTCCCAGATTTTTCGTAGTGTTCTATTGTTTCCAGTACTTGCCTTATATTATCTCCAATGTATCGTCCATGTAAAAAACCTGTCTGATTAGAATGAATAATGTCCGACAATACCTTTTTAATTCTATGCGCTATACATGTTGCTAGAATTTCTGCATCACATCACTGAAGTGTAAGGGGCCTCCAATTTTTTTTATGGATCTTTATATTTCCCACTTGTATCCTGTTTCAGTAATAATTAAATCAGACGCCTCACAGGTCCTCAACTGGCAGCTTCATTAAATAGTACCCCCCAAAACACCAGTCTCAACGTCAACAGTGAAGAGGCGACTCCGGGATGCTGACCTTCTAGGCAGAGTTGCAAAGAAAATGCCATATCTCAGACTGGCCAACAAAAATAAAAGATTAAGATGGGCAGTCTGAGATATGGCTTTTTCTTTGAAACTCTGCCTAGAAGGTCAGCATCCCGTGGTCGCCTCTTCACTGTTGACGTTGAGACTGGTGTTTTGCGGGTACTATTTAACCCTTGTGCTTTGCTGGAAAAAAATGACATCCATTATGTTACGGGTCAAATTGACCCGCACAGTTTAAACACACTCAAGACAGTCAAAGAATTAAGTAAAAACAGAAACAACTTTATTTTGTCTTATCAGACATTTCAGAAAGAAGAAATACAATACTTTTTATTTTTTTTAAACAATATTTAAGAACTATTTGTTAAACATATTTCCTTTCTCACAAACAAGATTTTTCAGTTTCCCCAAGTAGGTTTTTTTCCCCCCCTATTGGTCCATATTATCCCTTCAGTCTTTCTCTCTACATGTTGAACACAATGTGTGTGTGTGCTTTCTGCAGATGTATTTATTGCATTCTACACAAGTGGTGCTTGTTTTACTGTCTTGTCGAGGGGGGCAGAGCTGGCATCTTTTCCGTTTCTTGCCACTGCCTGTATCCACTGGATCCATTTCTGGTTGATTGGAGGCATGTGTTGATGGTCCAGCTTGAATTTTCTGGACGGCAGATGCAGCTGCTGTCGACCGAGGAGGCCGGACTCTCCTCTGGATCTTGGGAGTGATGAGAGCTTTGCCGAGCTCCTCTAGGAAAAGCCGGCGTCGGTACAATTTGCCACCATTCCATTGCTGGTTGATTTCAGTCCACAGGACATAGGCATTGTAAGCAGACACATCCACAATGTTGTAGAAAATCACCAAAGGCCAGCGGGCAGTCATGCGCTGACAACTATATGTTGCTGTGACTTTATCCAAATTGTCAACTCCTCCTTTGGTGGAATTGTAGTCCAGTATTATTTGTGGCTTGATGTCCTCTCTTGCACTCAGCGATGCATCTTTGTGCATTGTGCTCATTACAAGAACATTCTTGTTCTTCTTTGGGCAGTATGAAACAACAGTTGCATTTTCAGAGAAAGCAAATTTAGAGGAATGCACAGTTCTGCCCTGCATTTTCAGAAGCTCACTGGGAAGTTCAGGTTTGTTTTTTCTGATTGTTCCAACCATGGTCAGCTTTCTCTTCTGTAGTTCAACACCAAGGCGGTAGGATGTGAAGAAGTTGTCACACGTGATGTTATGACCTTGCAGCCCTTCACTCATGTCCAGCACCACCCGCATCCCCTGGTTTTTCTCAGGCACTCCGCCGGGTGGCTTCCCAGTGTAAACTTGCATATTCCATGCATAGCTTGATGTGGCATCACATGCTGCCCATATTTTGATGCCACATTTTGCAGGCTTGTTTGGCATATACTGTCTGAAGGGACAACGTCCTCTGAATGGAACAAGGCGTTCATCAACTGTAACATGAGGACTGGGATTGTACAGTAACGGTAGAATTTCCACCCATTTATCCCATACATCTCTGATTGCAGCTAGTTTGTCTCTTTCACGTCGACCCGGTCTGGTATCACGGTTATCAAAGCGAATCACCCGAGAAATTATGTGGAATTCTTGTAGAGACATTGTTGCCCGAAATATTGGCCTTCCATTCTCTTCATTCCACAGGCTGGCCGTTGCTTCTCCGTTTGACCGGTAGACTCCAGCTAATATGAGCAATCCAATGTATGCATGCAAGTCAATCCAATCCAGTGGCTTCCAGTTCTCTTGAAACACACGGCTCCCCTCCAAGTTGGTCATGTCCAGAACAATCTTCTCTATTGCTTGGGGTAAAAAGAGCTCAAAAGCTGATTGTATGTCATGGACTCGAGTGACAGCAAATCGTGTAGGTCCTGGAACCATTTTTATTACATTGGAAGCTGAGAGTCTACCTTGACCTCGTTGTGGTGACGGTGACCATTCAATATGACCATCTTTAGACTTCCATGTCTTCTCTTCTCTTGATGATGCTTGTTGCATGCTCTGTCTCTCATCTGATGTAGGGGATGGTACGGCAGACTCCTCCTCTGAATCCTCTTCAATGAAGACAAAATCTGGATCATCAACAGCATTGTCCTCTATCTCTGAAATATCCTCTGTCTCTGAAACCTCTTCTTCTTTTTCACTGTCACAGTCCAGAATTTGTGATAAGACTTCATTGATTGAAAATCTTTTGGAGCTCATTTTTGAGTGTCTGTGTCAGGGACCTGCTGCTCTCACACTGAGGAGAAGCTTGGGAAAGCCCTTTTTAACCCAAACACAATTCTAAAAGTGCAACCAGGACCAGTCAAAACAAAATAAATCAAAGACACTTTTTTGTTTTGCACCTGTGCAAATATATATACACATGAAAGCCTCCGGGTCAAAATGACCCACAACATCATGTTTGTATACAAAATGTACACAGACATTCCACAACATTTACATTTACATTTTAGTCATTTAGCAGACGCTCTTATCCAGAGCGACTTACAGAAGCAATTAGGGTTAAGTGCCTTGCTCAAGGGCACATCGACAGATTTTTTACCTAGTCGGCTCGGGGATTAGAACCAGCGACCTTTCGGTTACTGGCACAACGCTCTTACCCACTAAGCTACCTGCCGCCCCACAACAAATCAGTGTGTCCACATTTTGCAGTTAGGTTCATGACCCTAAATGAGGAAAAGTCATGTAATTTCATGGCGAAAAAGAGTGGTTAACTACTATTTTAGACAACGCAAAAGTGGAAACGGGTCAAATTGACCCACAACATAATAGGAGGGTTAATGAAGCTGCCAGTTGAGGACGTGTGAGGCGCCTGTTTCTCAAACTAGACACTCTAATGTATTTGTCCTCTTGCTCAGTTGTGCACCGGGGCCTCCGACTCCTCTTTCTATTCTGGTTAGAGCCAGTTTGCGCTGTTCTGTGAAGGGAGTAGTACACAGCGTTGTACGAGATCTTCAGTTTCTTGGCAATTTCTCGCATATAATAGCCTTCATTTCTCAGAACAAGAATAGACTGACGAGTTTCAGAAGAAAGTTATTTGTTTCTGGCCATTTTGAGCCTGTAATCGAACCCACAATTGCTGATACTCCAATTACTCAACTAGTCTCAAGAAGGCCAGTTTAATTGCTTCTTTAATCAGCACAGCAGTTTTCAGCTGTGCTAACATAATTGCAAAAGGGTTTTCTAATGATCAATTAGCCTTTTAAAATGATAAACTTGGATTAGCAAAGACAACGTGCGATTGGAACACAGGACTGATGGTTGCTGATAATGGTCCTCTGTACGCCTATTTAGATATTCCATAAAACATCAGCCATTTCCAGCTACAATAGCCATTTACAACATTAACAATGTCTACACTGTATTTCTGATCAATTTAATGATATTTTAATGGACAAAATAATTGCTTTTCTTTCGAAAACAAGGACATTTCTAAGTGACCCCAAACTTTTGAACGGTAGTGTATGTGTGAAATTTGTTTTGATTTAGAATGGGCCATTATCATGCACCTGTCATGGAACAGGGGCATGGGAAAAATATATATATGTCATCTATGCAGTTAAATATACCCGTGGTTCATTTTCATGCCAGCCAGGTAGTCTATACTCATGCTGTAAAGCGAAGCAATGTGCTTAATATTGGGAAAGTTGATAAATAAATATAGTAGAAAACTGTTGGGATCCTCTTTTTAATACAGGCCATCAAAATTCTGTTTTCTCACACAATTGCATAGTCTATAGAAATGTTGCACAACATGAGCTCATGGGCTCTCATGTCAGAGTTTAATCTCCCGAGTGGCGCAGTGGTCTAAGGCACTCATGTCAGAGTTTAACCTCCCGAGTGGCGCAGTGGTCTAAGGCAAATCCAGGCTCTGTCGTAGCCGGCCTTGACCGGGAGACCCATGGGGCGGCGCACAATTGGCCCAGGGTAGGGGAGGGAATGGCCGGCAGTGATGTAGCTCAGTTGGTAGAGCATGGCGTTTGCAACGCCAGGGTTGTGGGTTAGATTCCCACGGGGGGCCAGTATGAAAAAAACAATTATAATAATGTATGCACTCACTAACTGTAAGTCGCTCTGGATAAGAGCGTCTGCTAAAAAATTTAAGAGTGATTAGAGGGACAATATAGTGCTGAGTACCCGGCATTTATCACATTTGGTAGGCTACTAATGACCATCAGCAGCATCAGAGCTTGGAGAAGCCTAGTTACCGTGACTAAATGGTCACATGGAATTTGACTGCAGTCATGACTCGTGACTGCCAGTGTGGCAGTAATATGGACACTGTAACAGCCCTAAACTCACCACAAATGTGTTTCATGTTCTCAGAACTGGGAGTGAGGATCTGATAGTGGCTTCATTTCTGTATTCAAAGTCATCTATTTAAAATGCTTGCCCTCTGTGTGTCAAGTATTATTATGGCCAGCTCCCATACATTTTTAGGAGATTAAGAAAGTTAAAACTAAAAAAATGTAATAAATCCTTCTCTCTCTCTTTCTCTCTCTCTCTTTCTCTTCCAGGAACCACAAAATGGTCGCCATAATCAACTCCAGTTTCTGCTAAAACGAAACAAAATCCATAATCCGTCCGTGTTTTTCTCCAGACCCTGGCTGTTCCATAATGTAAATGAAGCTTGCCTTGATTCTCCTCAACAGACGGCTAGGCCATGAGCCTTAGAGGATCTACGGTAACCCGGACAGGGCCTTCCCCAGTTTGGATTTAGTGCCACCCTCGTCCATCCGTCGAGACTGCCTGCCACGTGAGGCTGCAGTGGTGGCCGGTGGTGGTGGCGGCGGCGGTGGTGGGAGGACCTTCACACGTAGCGCAAAGCACACTGGGATATATTTACAAACACACTGAGGTACCACCATGAGGATATCCACTACCTCCTGTCTCTGTCACGTACTGGTCTGCCTCTGCTTTCTCCAGAAGTGCTATGGGGCTAGCCATCATGTACCAACAGCCAAAGTGCCCATCACAAACAACCAGACCAAACTGGCCAATGGCGAGACGGAAGTGCACCACAGACCTAAACGCGGCTGGATCTGGAACCAATTCTTTGTTTTAGAAGAACACATTGGACCAGACGCTCAATATGTGGGAAAGGTATTGTTTTGTCTTACTTCACAGAACTTCATGGCTTGAATTTAGATGCTTGTAAACAACCACTTTTTCATTACAAGGAAACTTGACTCCTTGGCACTGGTTGTGTCCCAAATGGCACCCTATGCCCTACATAGTGCATTACCTTCGACCAGAGCCCTATGAGCCATGGTCAAAAGTAGTGCACCATTTACGGAAAAGGGTGCCATTTTGGACAAATACTCTGTTTTGCTGCGCGGCAGTCTTGTCTACTGTGTTGTGGCAGGTACAGCTTCGATTATTAAGGTGACTTACCTTGTTGGTATTCTAGATGATTTTGTTCTGCCTAATGATGTAGAAGCCAAGAGTGTGTTCCAAATTGCACCCTATTCCCTACATAGCGCAATACTTTTGACCAGGGCCAATAGGGCTCTGGTCAAAAGTGGTGCACTATATAGGGAATAGGGTGACATTTGGGATGCGCAACAAATCTCACTTGGGTATATTTTGTAGAGAATAGAGGTCTACACTGTCCAAGTTCTTCTCATGATAATGTGTTATGTTTTATGCAGGAATAATCAACAATACTTCGATAATCTAAGTCTATCACTTTGGGCAGCTCTGTTAAGGGATATGACATTCAATTGTGAAAATAGCTTTTTATAGCATACGCTTAGTTCCAAAAATGGTTTGTTCTTTGTTTGAATTAACCATAGTGCAAAATCAAACCAACCCTTACAGAAAAAAACACATGATTTCACATGTGAAATGTCCACATTTGCACAAAATGTGAAATCATGTGAAACCATGTGGTTTTGGTTCACTTCACATGTGATGATATTTTACATGAAATTTCACAGGTGATGCCTTGCGAACAAAAATATGTCGTAAGGATGTCCCCGGAATGTCACGCATTCACAGTGTTTTCAACTTACATATTTCAAACACTTGATTAGATTGTGTATGATTATTTACACAGTAATTATTATTCAACATGTCCTCACCTGGGATTTGAACTCACAACCTCTTGGTTCACGGTATCTTCCTGTTACGCCACCAAAATTGCTGAAATAAATCAATGAAATCAATGATGAGAGAGTTATCAGATTAAATTATAACTAAAATAACAGTGCAGATGGCACTCTTTTGCTAAGTGCAGAGATGTATTATAGGTAATGATTCTGTAGGTGACTTCTGAGAACGCTATGGACTTTGTAACACAGCAAAAAAATCAGCGTACCCCAAATCCAGAGGTTGTGAGTTCAAACCCCAGTTGTGGTCATATTGAAATCTAATCATATTGATTAAAGATGTTTACACTTGTTTATCTGAGCAGCGTACCAATTACCTTAAAATCCCCATACCATTTAATTACTTCCCTTACAAAAAAACAAAAACATGTACAGTTTTTGCATTTTCATGTTGTCACATTTATTTCATGAGATCAAGTTTTTACATGTGCTCAAATGTTTTCACATGTAGTTTCATGGTACCTAATGTTGCATGTAAATGTTGTCACATGTTATCACATTAACTTCACAGAAGATCACGTTAAATTCATGTTTTTTCCTAAGGGATGTTCTCATAGACTAGACGTAACATAGTAAATGAAAATCTGTGACACTCAAATTAGTATGATTTGTTAAGTTTGGTATGGTTACATAACTTTACTTACGGCAAAAAAATTGAAGGAGGGTGGTTGGTCAGTGTGGAAGGGTAGACATATAATGCACATTTCTAGTAATCCGAAGGTTTTGTGTTCAAATATCATTGGGGACAAATTTAGCATTTAAGCTAATTAGGAACTTTTCAATGACTTACTATTTTTTAGCTACTTTGCAACTACTTAGCATGTTAGCTAACCCTTCCCCTAACCCTAACCTTAACCCTAACCTTAACTCCTAGTCTAGCTAACATTAGCCACCTAGCCACATACCTAACGTTAGATTGGAATTTGTAACATATCATGCATATAATAAAGGGGGTAATGTAAATTGTCCTGGTAGTCATTTGATTAACTGTTCAGCAGTCTCATGGCTTGGGGAAGCTGTTCAGGTGCCTTTTGGTCCCAGGCTTGGCGCTCCGGTACTGTTTGCCGTGTGGTAGCAGAGAGAACAGTCTATGACTTGGGTGGCTGGAGTCTTTGACAATTTTTTGGCCGTTCCTCTGACACCGCCTGGTATAGAGTTCCTGGATGAAAGGGAGTTCGGCCCCAGTGATGTACTGGGCTGTACGCACTACCCTCTGTAGGGCCTTGTGGTCGGATGCCGAGCAGTTGCCATACCAAACAGTGATGCAGCCAATCAAGATGCTCTCAATGGTGCAGCTGTAGAACTTTTTGAGGATCTGAGGGCCCATGCCAAATATTTTCAGCCTCCTGAGGGGGAAGACGCATTGTCGTGCCCTCTTCATGACTGTGTTGGTGTGTTTGGACCATGATAGGTCCTTAGCGATGTGGACACTGAGGAACTTGAAGCTCTTGACCCGCTCCAATACAGCCATGTTGATATGAATGGGGGTGTGTTCGGGCCTCGGTTTCCTGTAGTCCACAATAAGCTCCTTTGTCTTGCCCACGTTGAGAGAGAGGTCGTTGTCCTGGCACCACACGGCCAGGTTAAAAAAACTATCAAGGATAACGGAATAAAGTCGCTTATGTATGTACAGTATATCCACTGTGACTCTGGGCCTTTTGTAGCAGTACGTCTGAGCCAAGGCCGCTGGAAAACGTGTGGCGAGGCGGCATTTGCCACAGCAATTTTCAATCACTTTTCAATCACCTTTGATTTAATTTAATAAAATATATGATTTAATTTAATAAAATATATTGACTCAAAGCATTAAAAAGAGGGACAAAGTGCTGTTTTTTAGACTGATTTGCTTCATAATTTGTGAACTCATCGGAGTGGTGCTGCAGGCTCTTTGCGTGTCTAGACCAATCAGATTCATGGAAATCGCAGGTCAAGCGGGCCGGACACAGCGCAGAAAGCTCAAGACGCGCTCTCCACTTTCCTCAAGTATTTATTTAGCAAGCGTGATAACACATCACTCCCGACAGACACAAGCAAAAGCTCGTACATACATGTAGCAGCCTATACACCTAAACATTAGCGAACTGACATGCTGCATTGCATGGAAACGAGACAATTATTTTGTCTGATCAACTGTAGGCTATTAACAAAAGTAGCTGCATAGTCTAGCCTACTATGCGCCCTGTCCCCTCTGGCCAGGGTAAATGAAGCAGTAACGTTGTGTATTTATAGCCCATTTGTTTGTGAGAAAATGTGAATATGATCATGTTTGGTTTATATTCAGACTTGGGCTGACTAGACTATCTAGACTTTTTCGATCAAAAATTATTAACTGGAATTAATCAATAAACACAATAGCTGACATAGACTGTGAGTACATTTTTTATTAGGCCTACAGGTGCATATGGCAGGAATACGTGACGCAAGCCTGCATAAAGCAAGCTCAGCCCTGTGAGTTTTATTGTCCAATCATGTTGCTTTCTCTGTGTCTGTGTATAGGAAACCCCCCTAATCCTTCTTTAAAATATAACTAATATGAACAAGTACAAGGTTGCTGCAGTTTGACAGGGTTTTCATCCTCCCCAAGGCCAGGAGTTTTTACAGCAGTTGTTTTAAACCATGTGACCTGATTAGAAAAACTCTGGTCCCATCATAGCCCATATGAAACCTTTTTAATAGGTGGGGATTTTTACCTGGTTAGGTTACCAGATCAGGAAAACTACGGGCCCCAGACTTTTTTACACCACACCACTCTGGGACCTGTGGCGCCACCTCTGGTCTGAGCTGCATGTCATACCAGCTATGGGCTCAGACTGTCACAGACATATGGGTGTCACAACGACTGAGCGGCAGGTACTAGAGATGACTGGTGGTCCTAACCTCGTGCTCGGAGGGCAAGAGCAACCCAGCAAGTCTGGTCTGCAGTTGCTGTGATAACTTTTCTGTTAGTTACACAATGGGCCACAGGAAACTGGTTAATAAGTCTGCTTGCAGATTGTCTGGCCCCCTTATCTCCTGAAAAGTGGAAATGTGTTTTCTCCGCTGCAGTGATCATTATTCTAGGCACTCGGGCAAAAGCTAATCCCTTCAACCGCACTCAGAAAGAACGAGGGAGGCAGATCACTCCTCTCCCTCTGACTGCATGTGCATATGTCAGTATTTCAATACAGAGGAAGGAGCATGATGTGGAATAGGAAAAAAATGAAAAATACAAGAAAAAGAGAGCGCAGTCCAGAGAGACAACATATAGAGAGGTGGAAAGACTAAGAAAACACTAAACCCATCTAATATCCTTCTAAATGTTATTACTCACCATCACCACTAAGTTTGTTATGATCACCGTGATGACAACAGTGTGCTACAGAAGGCCTGGCTTTATCAAAGATGCCTGGGTAGTGGTTTTGACAGAGCAGGAAAAAAACGAATCCTTATAGGTGTTATTTATTGATGAAACATGCCGTTGCCAAGGTTATAAAATGCATGAGTGAACCACATAATTCCCAAGGTTCCACCAAAACATTCTCTCAGCATTTTCTGTGGTTCTGTCTGTATTATTGCAGCTGACTAACTGAAGTAGTACAAGGATATTAATGAAGAGAACATCCTTATTGAAACGGCAACGTTGTATAATGGCAGTTTATCAGTTGCCACTAATTGCATGAGAGAATAATTACTTTCAAAGATTATATTAACATTTAATACAGCTGTTGCTTATCATTTGAAGACTCCGGTTGTCTCTATCATGCTGAATAGATATTGGCCAAGTCTCTCCATCCCTCATATTCTACCTTAGAAGGAGTTGTGATGGTATGCGTCCCAAATGGCACCCTATTCCCTTCATAGTGCACAACATTTGACCAGTGTCCTGGGCCCTGGTGAAACGTAGTGCACTATATAGGGAATAGGGTGCCATTTGGGACGAATGCATGGTGATGAAAGAAAAACAAACATGAACAGCTAATCCTTCCTCTATATCTATGACACTAAGAACAAACATACACATTCCAGTGAAAATCTCACTTTTAAAAGTTAATA